CTATTCTTCTGTACGCCTTTCGTTTCTTTTTTTGCAGTTAGCAAAGGAAAAAGGAGAGACTGTCGACGGTGAAAAACCAAAAGAGGAATCCAAGAATTCTAAAGATAATACCGATTCGAAGCAAGAAGACAATCTTGTTCCGTTTAAAATTCCAATCCCTCCACCGAAAGCACCAGAAAAATCCCTTCATGCTATCCATGACTTTGAGATTGATATTAATGTCCCTGTGGATGTAAATGGAATTTTGGATGACAACGGATCTGGAATGCATCGACCTGTGTCGTCACCTATTATTACCGGCCAAGGGACTCCGTCGGTTCTTGGTAGTGTTAGTGGTGCGGGTACTGCAAGGAATGGCGAGATGCCTGCTCGGCGACTTTTGAACCTCCAGGAGTATAAAAAGAAAAGAGGTCTTATTTAAATACTTTTCTCCTTATCCCTGACGCATACATTTGGGTGTACATACTTAGGCAAATAACTAAAAGAATTCCTTTTTTAAAACTGTGTTTTAGTTGATGTTTGTTCTTTTGCCTCATTTCTCAAATGGGTTAATTTTCTTATACTTAATAGATAAAGAAATGCCTTGTATTGATTGTTATGATAGCGCTGAGATTTTTATTAGCCGGACAAAGTGCATTGCAGTGGTCCATGTGCACACGGCCATGTTAGAGATCGCGAGATCGATGCCGGAAGTATCGACTACTCTTGTTCTCAAGGGGTGGGATGGTAGGATGGGCGTTTCTTGTAAAAGTGGCTCCACTATACCATCCCGAGTTAAATGTTGGCAAAGTTTCTTGTTTTGGGGTTGGAATATTTAACAGATGGACTTGTTTCGATAGTCTTCTATTATACTTGATAATAGAGAAATTTTCAAGTCGATCAACTTAAGAGGTTTTACAAGGGATGTGGTTTGAACAAGAGATATAATGCTTTAAGTATGTAGGAAAGAAAGTTGGGGAGCTGGGAGATCTTGACTCAGAGATCAATGATACCTGCATAATTCGAGTTACTATTGGCTCATAATGATGTCTTGATTTGAGTGGTCTTGGGTACTTCGTTAAGTTCAAGTTCAGTTGTCATAGATGTTTGTTGTTGTGGGCTGTTTGTATTTGTATTTTTAAAAATCTCAATTTTAGAATCATTTTGCATACGTATGGTAGCAAAAGTAGACGCGCACCCAAGTTTACTCGCTTTAGAAGTTGAGGTTCCAACCCAATCTATCTTGAGAAATTCAGTCTAACACTACGCAATAGTATCACCAATCGGATTGGTGTCTGGTATTGAGGGACACGTTATCGCTCTGTGCGTCGTCGCATGTCTGCATGCCAAGATTGGGAGGTGCGGCCGTACAACTCTGTGTGCAGCGACCGTACAAACAGTGGCCAATCAGTAGCCTCCGTTTAACCTAATCCCGCCGTACAAACAGTGACCACTAGCCTCTGTTTGTTTGACCTAATCCGCCATCCTGATCATGATTGACCGTACAAACAGTGGCCAATCATTAACCTCTGTTTAACGCGATCGTACAAACAGTGACCAATCATCGAACCGGCGACCTTAACATCTGTTTGTTTAACCTGATCCGCCATCCTGATCATGATTAACTCCCTGCGTGTACACACTTGATCCATAATATACTCACTGAATAAACGTGCTCATTGCTACACGTCTGTTTCCTTTATAGCTGGGCAATAGCTTAGCTGGTTTTGGGAGTCTAGGTAGATGTAGGAGGATCTGCCATAGAGATTTCGGTCAGGCTTTACTAGCGTAGCAATCCGCTACAATGCAATCCGGTCAGGCTTTACTAAGGTAGCAATCCGTTACAATTCTCAACCGGTCTGGCTTTACTAAGGTAGCAATCCGCTACAAGTCTTTAACCACCATGCTATAATAAAGTAGCAATCCGCTAAAGTATAAACGAGCTCGTAGCTAGTGTGCTTACGTTTTGTCTCCAGATAATCAATTCCGTAAGTGTCCTTAGTCCGTCATAATTAACACGTGGCGATAATCGCTGCGGACGTTTTGACGGTTAATCACTAGTAAAACAGTATTCATTTATATTACCTTTGATTGGTAATACTTCTTTGGCTTTCTGCATTCCTTACTAACTCTCCAGCGAGTTAACTATAGCTTCGATATATATAGAGGGCAGATACAGCATTGCAACAATATTGTATCTACTAGTATAGTATCTACTACGAAAAGTCGCATCATGCAGAATTTGGCCATGGACAGTTTAACACTGATTTAGACAGTTGTTTGCAACAAGGTTGGGGGGTGGGGGGGGGGGGGGGGTGAAACTCAAGTCTACATTTCTAGTCTATGATATATTTGTTGGTACCAATGCAGAAGTACAAAGTCTCAAGCGCTGAGAGATAGTGTAGTGGAGACTTTACCTTATTCCTTCCACTAGGTGTCGTTCGATACCTACTACCTATATTAACCACTTGCCAAATTACGTTTTGTAATACGGCGTGCAAAAGTTATCTATTTAACCTCATTTTGGTGTTACGAATTTATTTGACTGCTCAATCGTACCCAGACTATCAACCTCTATCTAACTCTCCCGTCGACCCTTCCTATTTACATCATAATGTCCGAGGAAACTACTTCGACTCTTTCTTTCGGTATTCCAAGTTTCGAACCAGCACACCCCGACTCCTTTTTCGATCGTTTAGAAAGGATATTTCCACTAAAAGAAATCACAAACACCGAGATCTGGTTTCATTTCGTCCTGAGGGTCCTACCAGATTCAATAACGACCCAGTTCAAAGAGCTTATACCCACGTGGCCAGGTAAAAAGTCATACGAACAACTTAAACAGGCGATCACCAGTCGCTTTTTTATCCCCCCAGCGAAACGTTTACAGCAGCTTTTCTCGCAGAATGAGCTCGGAGATCGTTCCCCATCCGAAATACTCAGTCACATGCGCTCCTTAGCCCGTGGTTTAGAGATGACGGATGAAGTTATAAAGGGTTTTTGGTTGAAATGCCTACCTAAAGCTTTGGCTGCGTCAGTATTGACTAGCTCATGCCAAGACGATCGAAATAAGTTGGCCGAGATGGCAGATCGGGTGTATAATCATCTTGACAGCCCAAGTGTTAACGCCATCAAAACTCCAGCTGCCCCGGATACATTTACACAACGACTGGATGACCTCACTGAGCAGTTTAAAGAAATGAAGGCGCTTATGACAGCCTCCGCTTCACGCGCAAGAGGACGGCGTCCTGATTCACCTAGAAGGCGTCGGAGTCCATCAGGGCATGATGACACCGTATGTTACTTCCATCGAACCTATGGGAATAGAGC